TCCACAAACATAGCATCTATTTCTTTTTTACTGTCTCTTTCGTCTAAATCTTGATCTTCAGAGAAATTTCAATTTTTTGAATTTCTTCTTTTTTCTCTTTTGATCAGACTTCTTTTTTCCTTTTTCTGCAGGTGGGCATGAACATTGTTTTTCTGCATCACATTTAATCTTGAGATATGGTTTATCATAAGATTTTCCTAATAAATGCTTATTTTTTTCCATTTGTTTCACAAATTCAACTTGATTGCAGAGTCTTTTTAAAGCATGAAGAACAAACTGGTATAATTCACCAAAAGTGATATTTTGAATAGTAAGTCCTTGATTTTCCATTGTTTTTGTTGCTTCTTTACCAATAGTAGGAGATATGGATTCAAGATAAAATTGTTTCAAATTTATATCATCTATCCCGCCTATTTTATGGTATCTTTTGTTCATCTCAAAAAAATGCTTTTCAAGATCTTGTCTCTTGAATGAACAACACTTAAGCTGAAAAAATTCTTCTCGGGCAGCAATTTGTTTATGCTTAATTGGGCCTGAGAATTCAGCAACTAAATAATTAAGAAATTAAACAATGGATTGACTATTTCTCAACTATGTTTCTCTGTACTCTCCGAGGCTTGTATATCAATAAAAAAGGCGCCCTCTTAGCCTTACAATGACTTTAGAAATTGTACTGGCTAGTGTATTTGCAGGATTAAGCATCTCTGAATGCATCCATCATTGGATCTCTCTGAATCTGTCATTCCATTTTGCTGGTGGAATGTCTTCAATAGTAAATCCTTTAGATGAATCTCCATAGGTAGGGATAGGCTGTGGTTCTTGGTAGTTCGGAGGTCTAAATTCTTCATTTATATCAGGGTCTGATTGTTGTCGTTGTTTAGGGGGGTTCATCATTAATAAGGATTCTGGGTCAGAGGAAATGGAAGACGGTTTTTCATCAAATGTTTTAGAGGTATCAGTAATGTTTTTAGAGGATTGGGTTTCAGTTTGGAGGTTCAGTTCAGGTTGTTTGGTTAGGTTTTTGAGGAATGAACTTTTATAGGAAATGGGCTCAGAATAAGAAAGTGTTTGTGTTGGGACAGCGGAGGCAGTAACATCTTGTTCATGGTCAGGTGTCAGGAACATCTGGGTTTCATTTTTAGGTACTTGTGGACTAGATTGGGTTTGAATTGGAATAGGTGGTGAGGTAAAGAAGGTTTTGGGGTTTGTGAAGAACTAGGGACTGAAATGTTTGGTTTTTTTCTCAATTGGGGAAAAAACATTTCTTCAAGAAATCTTCTTTCATCTTCAAAGGAAGTTAAAGCTCTAAAACCAAAATGTCTTGGAGGAATTGAACCTGTAGGTGGGTAAAGGGTTCTGGTAGGTGGGAAAGGGTCTGGACTTCTTAAAGTAGGATAAGTTTGAATATATGGGTTTGCAAGCAAGGGTTGGATTTGTGAATGGTATTGTGGTTGAGAGTATTGAGATTTCATCCAAAGATCTTTTTCAAGACTCTGTAATTGTTTTCTAAAAACGTTTTTTCTTTGCCTCTTTGATTCAGTAAATAAGATTGCTCATGAATATCTTTGATTGTATACAAGATCTGCAGCAATTCTCTATGCAAAGATTGAATCCTTTCTTTCAACTGACTAATTATGCCAACTAATCCCTGTAATTGTGAATTCATCACATTTTGTTTTTCTTCAATCCTGAGTAATGCTAAATTTTGTGATTTAGCATTATCAGCTTGCCAATTGAGGCTTGCTTCTGCTGGAGATATGGATTTTATCAATCCAGAAGAATCTCTAGCACTGGGATTTTTTATCTTTCATACATTTTTTTCATTTTCTTGAATTTTTTCATAATCATGTAATGGAGGAAAATTAGAAGCATAACTTGGACTTTGAGGGTCAAAGGCTAAGCATGCGGGAATTTGATTTTTTCTTTCGGACCTTTCATTTGAGTCATCCCATCTTGTAGGGACGATTTCTGGGACAACAGTGTTCTTGGAATTTTGACTACCATAAGTCACATAATAATCCCATTTTCTTGAGCTTTCACCAAATAATCCAACTGTTGGATCACCTTCAATGAATCTCTGATGAAGTTTTTGTTGAGATGATATCTTCTGTTTATTTTTCCTTTTTGGTATATCATCAAAATCATCTTGAAGACAAGTAGAACAATTGCAACTATCAAACCAATTATGACCATCAGGAGTCTTCTGTTCATAAATAGGTTTCCCTGTTTTATCAAATGCAACCACTGGAACCTTTTCAAGAAGTCCTTGAAATTGGGTAGGAAAGATTTCTCTGGTTTAATTTTCAATAGGTCTTGGAGTTTGAAAACTTATTTGTGTTGTTCCATCAGGCATTCTTGTCATTCTAGAATATGACTGCATCACTGGCTGACTTTGATTTTGAGAATTTTCATAATTTGTCACCCATGTAGATGGTATCAACTCAAGCAATCTTCTCGAGATATTTATCTTGGGATATAATGACAGACAAGTTGGGAATTATTATCAACTTTAATGAACAAGGCAGTATTTTCATGTTCTGGGGATAAATGGGTTACTATATCAAAAGCATGGTTCTGCAGTCTATACACCATTTGATAATGGAGTGTAGCTACAATGGCTGTTTTAATTTGTCTGGTTCCTGTAATCTGTAATTGGACTTTAAAAGCATAACTCAAATGGGGGTCTTTAATTGGGATGTTAAAGTTTGGGAAGAAGGTAACAAAAATGGTGTTAGCATTTAAAGTTGTTTGTATAGTTCCTATGCAAGCATGCTGGTATTCTAAAAATATGCATCTAACAAAGCAATTCGGGAACTGCCTCCATACTTTTTCTTCCATGAAAGGTTAAGGCTAATTTAATGGCTCCAAAATGAATATGTGTATACCCATCTTTAAGCCATTGCGAAAAAAGGTTTCTAGGCAAGGTGCTAGTTGTGTGTTGCTTAGCCTGGGTAGCAGGGATTTGATGTTGATTAAAAGAAGAAGCTTGAACATATTCTTTAATGGCTTCAAAATTCTTTTTTCCACAAAGTTTTTTGATTCTTTTGGTCCAATTTAAGCTAGATTTATCATAAACATGACAAGGACTAATTAATTGAGAACTAGTTTCAAAAATTTTTTCAGGAGTATAAGTTATTTCAAAAAGATGGTATTGTTTAAAAAACATGGGTCCTGAATCTGGGTTAGAAGAAGAGGCACTATTTAAAGAGATATCTGAGTTATTTTCTTCTGACATTTTGAAATCAGCTACAGTGTTGACTGTCTAATTTTTGAAAAAAAAGGTTAAGTCCAACTTTCTTTTTCTGATTAACAAAATATGAACTCCAAACACGGCATTCTCGCCTCCAACAGAGCTCCTGTTATGTTAACACTAAGAAAGTATTGACAGTGGAATGTCATCAACACTAATAATTAACCTTTAAATCATATTATGTTTTCTGATGCGAGAGATCCTAGATCAACTAGGCAGTCGCAGAGCATACTAATCTCAATATGAGTTATAGATTAATCCAGTCAACAAAGTAAACTTTTAAGAACTAAAGTCAATAACATAGCTCTGATACCAAAATAGATGTACATAAAAAATAGATGGCCTAAGGAATAGGTGAGAACAACAAGATCAAGAAACAACAAACAACAATAGATATACAGATATCATAGAGATTTTTCTGTGCCCAAAGTGTTTTTAGACAAAGATTCGAGATGAGGCTTTCTTTTGTTTTCATCAAATCTGGACCTTATAAAAACTGCATCCTTTATATTTGACCTAGATCCGACTTAATAAGAGCAGAACCGCTCTGGGTCCATTTGACCTGGGCTTAATAAGTCAGACTCGACCCCAACACGGTGATACCTAGATCGAGCCGTTCACACCTCTAACTTCAAACTACGAGCTAAATTGCCGACTTGCCATATGCATACTCTCTCTCTTCCTCTCTCTCTCTCTGTGTTCCAAGCTAAGTAGACTTTTCAAGCGAGGTCTGGGTCGGGCGGTTCGCACCTCTCTATGTAGTATGAGCCAAACCCATCTGCACCCTTTCCTCTCTCTCTAAACTGGTTTCATCAACAACTGGCGGGTCTCTATATCGACTTTGTAACCTTTAAAGTCAAACGTCATGAAATCTCAGGTCCTCTGTAAAGTTGAAGAGTTCTTAAGAGTCTTTCTCTCTCTCTCTCTCTCTCTCGAAGTGATAACCTTAGGTGTCCATATCAGAAGGCTCACCCAAATTGAATCCATTTTGACCCTTACCAACATCACTACCCCACATGCATATACACTCCATTACCACATTGACTTCAATCCCATCACATTTTGCACTCCCTCACGTCTTCGTCATAACCCAACAAAGCATACAATTATACCACATAAGACGCAAAAATCTCAATAATTTGACCTCACCTTTGAAATGAAAAAACCCCTCCTCTCTCTCTCTCTCTCTCTCT